TCTCTCTCCTTTAATTCTATATTTATTAAATATAATAATTATAAGCATAGAAATTCTTTGGCAAACTTTTATAATTGATTTTCACAATAAATAAGATTTAAAAATATCATAATTAAATATTATAACATTTACTACAAACACAATAATATTGTATCGGTTTTTATAATGTTTCGCAAAATGATATATTAATATTTACATTTGGTGAAAATACTCATTGTTTATCATAATTATATATTTACCGACTTACCAGTAGTTGTCTCGCAATGCGTGACTTTATATTTATATTTTACACATGACTTTATATTTTTAGCAATTTATCATTAAAACAAAAGCATAAAAACAAATAACTAATAATTAAATCCTTTGATTACAATTCAAACAACATTCCTATTATAAATCACATCCATATTAAACAAAACAAACAAATTATATAAAACTATAGCCAAACTAATGACATAAGCTTTAGTGGTGTGTCGTCTCTGGACTACTTGCGGTTTTATCACCTTTGCTGTGGTTCATGGATGTCAGCCTCCAGTCATCAAGTTTTAAAAAGTGGCCATTTTTGCGGCATTTCAACGATCGGGCTTTAAGTGTCAGTGAATGATAAGCAGATCCAATTCGTGGTGATATCGCACACAATGCCAGAAGAGTTTTTTTAAAAGTATTTCAAACACTATATTTAGTATTTATGGTTATATAATAACTGTATAATCTATGGCAAATAATTATTTTGATTTAGATGTTAAAAACTCATAGAAAAATAAATTGTCATTAGATTTTAGTGAATTCAGTGTTTGATTGAATTCCTTGTGAGTAACGACAACAGTCTTATCTATAGACCACTCGTTATGTTTGGCCAACACATCCCGACACTCAGGTCTCTGATTATAATCAGGGGTCGACATCATAGACAGTAATGTCTGGTATAGACATAGTATGCATGTCTTAAACACCGATTCATTTGCAGTGAATGTTTCCAATCTATTAAATGATGTAAAATATATGTAAACAATTAAAGTAAAAGTCTCTAGCATAAATAAAACATTTGTAAACATAAAAATGAACATGTGTAAAATAAAAGTGTTTTAAAACACTTACGATTGCAAATAAACATTAAATAGTTGTTCACCAATAAGACAGAGGCTATAGATGTCTGACTTATGGTTATAGGGTTTACTGTGGTATATCTCGGGTGACATATACCTATAGGTGCCGACAAACGAGTGTTGGTATCGGCTGCGTGTGTGTCGGCGCGGGTCGTGATCTGTGGCCAAACCAAAGTCACACAGTTTTACAAACCTATTGGACTTAACGTTGCGCTCGATTAATATGTTTTCCGGTTTGAGATCCCGATGAATGACCCGCGGAATGGATTCGTGTAAATATTGGACACATTCTAAGAGCTCTTTGAATATTTCGCACGAAATGAAATACTCGATGGCATTCATCTGGTCTTCGGGTTGTCTTTGAAAGACATTGGGTTTGTCAGCGAGAAGTGTTTGTAGACTTTGAGAGCAATACTCCATTTGAATGTACAGATGACTGGACTCAAGCCATGAGTGATAATATTTGACCACAAAATCCGAGTCCAGTTTTGCCAAACTTTTCACTTCATTTAAAATTCTTTGTTTCTTTCCTTCGCTAAAATCTGAGCAATTTTTAAATAAAATATTTATTAAATACAGTACTAATAAAATTAATTTAAAAATTACCCCCAAATTGCACTCTCTTGACAGCATATATCCTATCATCCAATTTGTGTTTGACTTTAAATACAGTTCCGAAACCTCCCGAACCTATCGTTGAGATCTCGATGAATTGTGTCTTATAATTACCATTATTTAAATTTTGTTCATTTTTGTTTTCAATTTGTATTAAACTTGTTAAATTTAATTGTTGAAAATTCATTGTGTTATAAGTTATATGGTATTCATTAGCGTAAAACTCGGCAAAATTATCACAATTTGTTTCATAT